GTATTGTCTTTGTGAAACAACATTTTCCAATTCTGGCCGTTTTTGTTTGATTGCTTCCTCCAGTTTCATTAGCTGTTTACCGTAAATCTGAATTGATGGATTGATCGTTTGGTTTCTTTTATATAGCCAAAATCCCACCAAATAACATGTTCTATTTGATGTTGATTTATCGCGCTTGGATCATAATCGTTTTCGATTGAAGTAGACAAACCATTTTTCATCACCAGTGATGATTGATTTAAAAAAAGTGAATATTTTACCTTCAGAATTGATTATTTTAAAACTAATCTCTGATAAGTGCATTCTGTTAAACAATCAACATCATAAACATCACATATTTCTGTATGAACCTCAGGAGCCTCAATTTAATTTTATTTATTCATTAAGATCATATAAAATTATTACAGTAAAGCAAAGTTAGTACATGATATTGTATTACATTTATATTCTGTTTGCGAATTTAATCAATGTTAAAATTAGACGCAGAGTACGAAAAAAAAATCGCGCATGAATAGTTGATATTATTAATTCGTTTATGAAAGAGATCCATTAAACATTCTTTCTAAAAAGGTTATTGCCCTGAGATCATTTTACATACAAGCAGTGATTTTATTTTTAATGTGCCCGAGTACAACGGGTCTATTTTTACTTTTCGATTACCGGGTGGAGAGTTGAAAAATATATACATATATATTTACACAAAAAAAGTTTGTACATATACAAAAATAAGTGCTGTTTATTTTTTCACAAACTTTTTTTTAGTTATTTTTATAAATAAAATAAATGAAGTTTTTGTCGGCCGCCTGCTGAAAAGCCAAGGCAATTTTTGAACGCTTCTCCTTTTTTATTTTTTTTTTCTGTTCGGCAATAAAAATCTTTTTATACGTTCCATGCTTCTTGCATCTGTTTCGTTAATGGCCGTTTTAGATGCGATGCATCATCTTTAATGATCGCATATCATATTGTTGAATTTATTAATAACTAAATGGCTGATACACAATTAATCTTTGGGGGATCTTCAAAATTTCTAATAAATAAATTTAACTTTAAAATTATAAAAATACGCTCTAAATTTAATAACTTTTTCACTATGACAATCACGTCATCATGAACTGATCAAATCTTAATCAGTTAAATTATTTTTTGTATTAAACTGAAAATGAGGTCTAAGCTGAAAAAGTAATTAAATTATATTAACTCATAATAAAATTTAATTTAATCGTTAGTAATTATTAAAGGGACTTCATATTAAATTTGTTATTTACAAACTATTAAAGTTAGTAAACAATTACTACATAGTGATCGATTATTAATTACAATATTGTAAATTTGTTGACATGAAATACTAATAAACATTGTGAATAAATATTTTTATATATCTAATATAATTATTAAAATTCTACACTTTAAGTTAACATGGTAAATATACTTCTCATTATCTATATTTCACTATAGGGTTTGTCGGTTTATAAAACCCGGTTTTTTTGAAGAAATTTATAAAATTCTAAAATCGGGTTCTTTCAACTAAAAAAAACGGTTTTTGATCTTAGGCTAATATAATTTTTTGTTACTGATGCAAAAGAAGAAAGCAATCTACTAAAATATATGTTGTAGAACAGTGATTCTCAAACTTTTTGGTCCGCGGCCCACTTTTGAACATAAAAAGTTTCTGCGACCCCCTTTTGGATATAAAACTAGGGCCCCCTTTTGGACATAAAAATTTCCTGCGACCCACCGAAAAATGGGTATGTATAGAAAAACAACCAGGATTGTCATTAATACGACCCATAGTTTGAGAATCACTGCTGTAGAATACAAATATGCAAACATAAACGTTCTTTAAATATCAAATAAACTTTTTGAAATTAGGGACGTTCGTGTATGTGCGTGTGAAACAAGTGTATTCCGTGGAACGCGGTGCTTACAACAAATTCTTCGCCAAAAACGTCCATTAGGAAGAAATTTTACAACAATGAAAAAAAATGTCTGTTACTAGTATTAAATGCAACTTTTTTGTGCACGTAGTAGATGAGATAATATTGTCTTTTTCTGGAAATTTTCTATCTAAAACAAGGACCTGTTTGAGCAATAGATCTATAGACATTCTTTCCTTTTAAAAATTATATTTTCCTAGAAAAATAAGAAATAAAGTAACATTTTATACTATGGAATAAAATTGATTTAGTTATACTTTTATATAATAATATAGAAGTTTGTTTTGTGAGTTTCTATTTTGTTATTATTTTAAATTTTAATCAATTTGTCTCTATTTTTCAGGAAATTTTTTTTAAATCGGTTTTTGTATAAACCCTATTTCACTATAATTAAAAATAATCCTCAATAACAATAGTAACTAATTTATTTAAAAATAACATATCTAAGTATTACCCTATCTGAAACTGTCATTTTATCTACAATTTTTTTTTATAATAATTTTTTTCAAATAAATGAAATGCATGTATAATTTATTATATAAAATGTATAAATATTTAAAATATAAATCAAGATTTCTTTGATGTATAAATCATAAGTTGCCAAGATTGAAATTTTGGCAACTGATAAATGAATCTGACAAAAAGTAAATGCAGATAAAAACAGAAACCTTCATATTTATGTTTTCAATCTATTTCCGCAATTTCTTTATTGCATCGCTGTGAAATAGATTACTTAGATTATTTGCAAAGTAAAATTTCAAAACAAATTAAATTTTATTTTTATTAAAAAAAAGTTCGTTTTTTTCTCTTTTTGTAGAGTTTTAATGTCCTCGTTTAGTCCGGGATATTGACGGATCCAATTACTCTTACTAAATGAGGTATTGTGGTAATTTAATTCATTAGTAATTGATATTACAAAACTCCAGTGATATAACACTGTGTCTCTTAAAATAGGTGTTTTACATCAAACAAAATGATCGACCAATCAAATAGACGCTGACAATCTATATCTTGCAGGATAAACATCTGATTGGCGAATGCTCATCACGATTCTAAAGCAGTTGGCAACAACAACAATGTACATTATTATTCTTTTTCTGTTTCTTTTCGTCGCTAATCCTTGTTCTCTCCCGGTTTATATGTTTCGCGACTGCAGCCAAAAATATATATTTACACGTCGGACTTTATTGCTGCCATCGTTTCGAAATAATGAAAAAAAAAACACTCGCCGTGCACGCATGCAATCCTGATGCGGTGCTTAAATTACGAGCTTGTTAAATGCGAAAGCGCGGTTGCCGCTTTTCATCGCGCTAAGATTTCACGAATTTTTGATGGAATGAGAAATGTCCATACACAAAGTTGGCCGCTGTCCACATCAAACAAAAAAAACATAATAAGAAAAGCACGCATTTGCACGGAAAAATAAATAAGTAAATAGTGTAAATAACAAATTCGAAATAAATCCCGTTGTTGAGAAGCGCGCTTAAATTTAGATAACAGGGATCTTTCGTAATTGGAGCTTTTTTTCGGACTCTTGTTTGTCAGTTTTCTTAGTCAATTCTGTTATGTAAAAAAAACGCGCGCACTAAGCACAGGATTGACTTTATTTATTCTGGAACTATTTTCGAGTTACGTTACAGGCACCTCAACACAAACAATCTACTCACTTGTTTCTGGGCTCAGAAATAAAACCAAACAAAGTTTGGTTTAATTACTTACAACGTTCTGGAAATAGATGTTCGCTTTTTCTTTTCAATACAAACTAATTCGACTCGATTAAGAAACTCGCTAATTAAGTGTTAAACATTTACACATCTAATTATTTCCTGCAATATACTTAACCAAAATAAACTTCTTTTAATGATTCTAATTATATTCCAACGCATTTATACAAGCATCACAATATCAACATTTTTTAACTTTACTTCATCTTCTAATATTTTATTTTGGACATGTTGGTGATTTACGAATTCGCTATTTTCGTCGATAACTTAAACTTCCTTCATCCCTTAATAACTTACTTTACTTCCTATTAATTATAAAAATTTACTGTCCGTTTTTTGATGACAAACATTTAAATTACAACAAATGACAAAAATGAAAGGTTAATATCATTGTAGAAAAAATCTTCTATTTTTTCTCTTTATGTCAAAAAATATTTACAGGTCAAAAATGACATTTAAAGTTTTATTAATTTGATTTTATACATTTGATATTGTTTTATTTGTTATATTGTACAGTAATTATATTTATGTTGAAGTCTAAACTTCTGAAATATTGAAAATAAATGTTTCATAGAACAAAAATTATAATTTTCACAATTCAATAAGTTATAATAATAATTGATCTAAGATTAATAATATTTTTATTACGAACAAAAACATATTATTCCATCCATTTTTTAAATAGAATTTTACTTGTGCTATCTGTCACCATGGTAATTTTACATCATAAAATAACATCTTAATAAAAAAAATATTTGAAATATAATTGATAATTTAAAATGTAAAATAATTTCTATGACTAAGAAATACTAAACCAATTAAACATAGTTTATATGTGTCATTAACAATTTATTTTGAAGAATTATGTTATCCTAAAATTAGTTCTTACAGCTGAGATTTATTATATTTCTATCATAATGTCAATGAGGTTTCATATTAAAATATTTCGCTCGAAGTTCGATACACGTTTTCAAAATAGATTATGTTTAACTCTTCATTAGATTATGTTCTGATTTAACATAATTTTGTTATAATCTATTATATGATTGGTTATTGCAAATTTAAATCTAAACTTATTTTACTTTTTTCCTTTATCTCGCTTTTTGTCTAATATAAATGGGACGCTTTGAAATTGCGAAATGGAACGAACAAAAATATACACTTATATATACGCACGAGATTTTATTTTATGTTCGTATCTTCGATTATTTTCTGTTTTGTTTGCTCGCTCTCCTGTACTAATTTTTACTTACTGTACTATTAGATTAGTTAAGCTTTTCATTTTACTGCTGATTCGATATTTTTTTCACACGATATATTAATTATATTTTTCTTTACTTACGAAGTTTGTGTTGTTGTGTAGAGGATTTCGTTGGAATCTGCGAGCTAAGTATAAAAGGGGCCGGTGGATGACTAATTCCGTCTGGGCGTCGGGGCTGACCGACGTCCGATGCGAACGCAACCGACGCCCGACGTCCGCGCTCAAATCTTTTACAAACTTAGACGGTTTGCTCTTCAACTTTCCTCTAGAGACAATAATTTATAACAAAAAAAATTGTATAATGTATATATTTATTTAAATAAACTTCATTTTATATAATATTTAACAGTATAAATAGCCATTTAGTAAAGTATAGTCAATTAATAAAAAGCAATAAAATTATGATGTATATAATTATTTGTAATAAATGGAATACCTCAGTCTGCACTTTTAAATTCTTTTTCTTTATATTACAGCCTATACAATAAAATGATAAATAAAATTAGGTCCATGCTGATATACATAATTTGGTTGCTTTTAACGAAATATGTTAACAATATTTTTTTATTTAATTTAATGATTCGATTAAAAATACAATTATATAGACCAAGGCTTCCCAATCGCAATTGTCTAATGTCCGAAAAGTGAATAATATTTGTATAAATAAATTAATAACGTGCCACCCTTATAACCCTTACAAATTTCACAAAACGCGTGCAAATATGATAGTCGAAAAAACAATCTAAACATACAAAATAAATTAAAATCACATGCAATAAAAGCATAAAATAATTATATATTAATTAAAAACCATTAAAACGTTTTTACGATATTACGATTGCTTTTCCTCTTTAGGCTCTTTTACTTCATCCACTACTTGTGCTGCTACCTCTGCATCTTTAACTTCATTCATCTTTTCCTCAGCTTTTCCAACTTGTGCTTCAACTTGCTTACCTTTTTCTTCTGTTTCTGATATATCTTCTGATTTTAATGTCTCTTCTACTTTCTCTAGTTTTTGTTCAGATTTTTCTGTATATTCTTTTAACACTTGCTTTTCTACTGCATCTTCTTTTACTTCAATCTTATCTACTATTTTTTCTGTTTCTACCACATCATTTGTTTCTATAATTTTCGCTTCTGGTTCTTTTATTTCTTCAATCTTTTGGTTGACTTTTTCGACTGATTCTTCTACTTTATTTTCTTTTGCTACTCCGACGTCTAGTTTTATATTCTCTTCTACTTCTTCCAACTTTTCTACTTCTATTTTCTTTTCTTCCACTTTAACTTCTATTTCTTCTTCTACCATTTTAATTTCATCTACTGGTATTCTTTGCTCTTTTTCTTCAATATTCACAACGTTATTTACTTTTAAATTAATTTCTTCAGCTTCATTCAATGTTTCTATAGGATTCATTTCATCTGCATTTTCAGCTTTTACCATGTCTTCCTCCAAGTTTTCACTGAAATTCTTAATTTGTTCAGCTGTTTTCATTTCAATGTTTTCAATATCACTGTCTTTATAAACTACAGATTCATTAATAATATCTTTATAGAATTCAGTTTCTTCCTGTTCAATATTTCCTTGACCAGTGATATCATTTCTTAGAGTCTGGTCACTTTTGGGGTTGTTATAAGATCTTGGTTTTTTATACCATCCCCTACCTCTGCTCCTGCCTCTAAAGGAACCTCTACCACGACCTCTTGGAGGCATTTGCATATCACCACCTTCAGCAGTTTGTTCAAAACCATCTTCATTGTTAGCAACATTCTCATGAATTTGATGTCCTTGTCCCTTAAATGAACTATTTTGTAGATGATGTTCATTTGTTGCCTGGTCATTGTAACCACTATACTCTTTATGATGGTATCTTCTTCCCCTATATGTACCACCCTCTATATTTTGATCTTTATGTTGATGTCTTCTACCCCTATATGAACCTGTTTCAATATTATGATCACCCATACCTTGTTCACTGTTACTACTATATTCTTTATGTGGGTGTTTTCGTCCCCTATATGAACCTGCTTCAGTATTATGATCATCCATGCCTTGTTCACTGTTACCACTAGATTCTTTGTATTGTTGTCTTCTTCCCCTATATGATACAGATTCAGCATTATGTTCTGCTGAAGCATGTTCATTACCATCTCTAAACTCTTTAGGATGTCTTCTTCCTCTAAATGATCCACTTTCAGTATTATGTTCATTTGCACCCTGTTCACTGTACTCTTTATGTTGGTGCCTCCTACCCCTACTTAATCCACTTTCAGCAGGCTGTTCATTATTATCAGCATAATCAGTATTTTGTTGCCTTCTTCCTCTATTTGCCCTTGGCTTACCTCTACTAGTTTCATGACTATAGCTGAATGTCTGGTTATCATTTATGCTATATGTATGTTCGCCAGTCTCAGTTTGTAATTCAACTTTGATATTAACAGGTTTCCCATCAAATAGCTCATTCCTCCACTTAGAATTGACATCATCTTGTTGCTTGTTATGGCCACCCCTACCATGACCTCGTCCCCTTCTATTTCCACCCCTGGGTCTTGCTTGCTCCGAATATTCATCTCTCTCTGGATCTCTTAAGTAGTTGTATGATGGATCTGGGGGTGGCTCACAGAAACCCTCCTGACTGGCTTTCTCCTCTCTCATACGATTCAACTTAATCCTCAGATCCATCACTGGTTTTTGCTTTTTATTATTGTGCATCTTGTTAACTGTAAATATCAGAATTCCATATATAGTTAATTATAGACTAATAATATGACTCACCACTACCTTAAAATTGGAAAATACGTTTCGTCACAACAAAAAGACACTTTAAAACAAATTAAATTAAATATATTCTTACTGCAACATTTTCAACCTACAACACGTCATTTCGAAAGATAAACCAAAATAAAATAAATGAATTTTACCAAAAAAATAAAAATATAGTCTACATGAATAACAAAAATGTATCGTCAGTTGCCTAAATAAATAATGATATTTGGCATTGTTGCCAAATTTATGATATTTCGCGACTTGTAATCGACATATACCAAAAGCAAACATTTATCACTTACACGAATTATCTCTAGATAATTCATCAGATAAAAATTATGACAAGTTCAAATCTCACCAAAAACTTTATAGATTCTTTGCATTTATGCCACAAATAAAGCCGTAATGATTTTAAAAATTCAAAATGATTACAAGATGTAACTTAAACACTTAAATATGTCTTTACAATTTGTAATTTATATTATTATGTATGTATTCTTTTTAATTTAAAATACAGTAAAACGTCGATTAATGTATAAATCTTCCGTTTAGTAAATAATTTAACAAAGAAAACAATAAAAAATGCGGATTAACTTATAAAAAAAATAAAAATGTGTTTTTGTATATCAATATAAAAATATTACGTTTTAAGTCAAATAAACGCGACGTGTTATCAACGGTGGAAATCACAAGCCCGGCAACCGAAATACCGTTTATCGAAATCCCGACGTTCGAAACTATATCAAAATCCCGGCAACCATAATCCCGCCTATATCCGGAACGTAGTCACTTTTAAATTGTTATTAATAATAAATAATAACAATTAATAATCTAATTGTATTTAAGATTATTTCATAATGTTAAGGTTTATTATGAATAATTCAACAAAATCAAATAAATTAATAATAATTTATTGTTATAAATAATAAAAGACTACGCTCCAAAATAATTTAAAAATGTTATTGTATTTTTTTTTATATAGTCGGGATTATGGTTGTCGAGATTTCGAACATCGAGATTTCAATAGACGGTCTATCGGTTGTCGGGTTTGCGATATAGACGTGTTTTTCAATTATCCGTGCCTTAACTATACAGAATTAACACGGATAATCGGATAATTTATGAAGTAATTACAAATTTTGTTGATATATTAATATTATTTAGAAATTATCATTAATACATGTTTATGCCAAATTCGTAATATTTTTGTCATGGTTATATAATTGTATTTTATTATTATCATTTCGGTCACAGGTCATCTTTTTGATTCTGGGTAGATACCCAATTAATAATAATTAATAATTATATAACTTTTTTAACGTTGCAAACGTGGCAACGTTGGATGAATTTATTTGTTTTTAGTGTTTATTCCGGTTGCATACATACATAATTTTGTATGCAACAAGTACAAGTTTGTTTAGGTTCTGTTTTGCTCATTATTATTTTTGTGGTTAGACACGCTTTTTTCTAAGTTTTATGGGCGAAATTACGTGCAGAATTGTTAGAAATGTGCGATTGATAGAAATGTGCTTGAATTCGGACGGTTCTTGATGCATTAAAATGTAATAATTGCTCTATTTTGAGTCGCCATTTTGTTTGGTAAACATTTGGTTCTCGTCGTTGTTTTTGTTTTGTTTTTTTTTTATTATTTTCGGAAAATTCGCGCATTATTGATTTATTATGTCCGGGGAAATGAAATCTGAGATTGACACGATACGGACTGCACCCGGAAACAGCATAGCTGCACTTGACCCGAAATACGCCGTCCTGGCTGCTCTGGGGTTAGTGCCGATAACGCCGCTCCTCATCCAGCTGAATCTGCAAGAGTCCCAGAAGGAGATTTCCTCCAAAGAGATGCCAAATAATGAAGTGAAAGACACTAAACTACAATGTCCAGAGTGTTTTGTTTTCTTCTTTGATAAGTCAAATCTAGTGAGCCATTGCCTGTCTGATCATAATACTGAACTGAAGTACTATTGCAAGATCTGTGCCAAACTCTTCAAGAGCCGATCCCTGCTGGAAGAGCATCAGAACACCAAACATAATGGAGTTAAACCATATACATGTACAATATGCCCACTTAAGTTCGTCTGTTTGGAAGCACTTACTGCTCATGTTCGGAGGCACTTGGGCAAGTTGCCATATAGATGTAGAATTTGTCAAGAAGGATTTAAACTGTATTTGGAGTTGAAGGACCATGAAGCAATACATGAGCTTCGAAAAGTGACCAATAGAAAAGCAGATAAGCATATGTGCAAAATTTGTGAGAAAGAATTTTTGAAACCCTGTGATTTGGAAAGGCACATTAGAGTGCACACTGGTGAAAAGCCTTTCAAATGCTCTATTTGTGGGAACCTTTTTCAACAGAACCATAATTTGAAGAAGCACATGGTTGTGCATATCAAAGACAGAGTGTTTGAGTGTGATATATGCAAGAAGTCGTTTTATAGAGGTGATGTCCTCAAACGTCATATGTTCACACACACTATTGTCAAACCATATCCATGTGAATTATGTTCGAAGAGTTTTTCCAGACATCAACTGCTTAAAGACCATATTGCAAAACACTATCTGGATGACAATACCACCACTGATGGGGACAGTAACAAGAAAATCAAGAGGCCCAAAACCAAAGCAAAAATTGAACAGGAACAGTCCACTTGATCCTCACCACTATCATCATCATTGGGGCTGCACTTTTTATACACAGTACAGCCCTGAATTTATTTCAAGCGCACAGTTTTTGTTTTCTATTATACATTTTTATATATATATATATGAATATACAAGGATATTACTTTTTATTTTTAACATATACATGATTATAGGAAGGAATGTATGTAGTATTATTGGATTGTTTGGAATCTATGTGGAATTATGTAGATAAAAAAAAAACACTATTAGTTTTAAGAAAATATTATTTATACACAGTTTTAGCTGAGAAATTGTAGTATTACTAATCAATATTATTTTTGTGTACTATTAAATTATTTATGAAAATAATAATCATTTTATTATATAATCAAACTTGCATAAATCAAATTAAAACCTGATCAATTGAAAAACCTAAACCTTATTTGATTCTATTATTCCAAATACTAAAACCACATGTGTGCAATAAAATCGATGTAAAGTAATTAAAGTATATTGGTTAGTACTGCTTCATACTTACGATCTATAACTATGCTTTTGTATCAATGTTGCTTAAGAATGACGAGAAAACCATTTTATACCTTTTTATAATTATATTTCGTAACGAAATAAAAACAAGTCTAATATATTATCTTAAGTTTATTCAAGGAATAAATCATAATGAATACACAGCTTTTTTATATATTTTTTTTATTTTAAATGAATAATTTTTATATTACAAGTATAATATTTTTTAATTTAATTGTATAGCACATTCACAAAGTATTATTTTGTAATATATATAAATATGATGGCTGGCCTGAAGGTTTCATTGAACTAGTTCACTAAAAAATTATACAATTGAATTAAGATATTTAAGTTTCAATTATAAAACAACAAACAAAAATAATATGATGGGAAATAATGGTCTGATTCAAATCATCTTTATCCCTCTGTTCATACATTCCTCTAATTCTTAAATTTATAAATACAAAAAATTATAGTTAAAACCATGAATCAATATCATTATAATTATTTACATCGATTTCATTCATATTTCAAGTGATCTCATTTTTTTCTGCTTTAGCTCGTTTTAGAGTGGATTGAACTTTGATTACTTGTTCCACCACAGTATATACACACACACATGCACCCACGAGATGCAACTGCCTAATCAATCTTAACAGTTGAGTAGATCTTCTTTACGAACAAGGATGTACCGATGTAGCCGACGGTGCCGCATATTACGGCCAGGCCACCGCTGAACAGAGCCATGTAACCGAAGTAGAAGGCAGTCTGGAAGAGACCGTACATTTTCGTCTTGAAGAAGAAGTAGTAAACCGCATAGAAGTAGACGTATAGAGCGGTGGAGGCGGCGCACAAGAATGAGGTCCACTGCCAGCGGTAGTCCTCCGCGTTCAGTAAGAAATACGCACAAACGATCGTCACGCACACGACCACGATGAGAAGGATCAAAAAGACGAGAAGCATGAAGCCATAGACATAGTAGATCTTGTATGCCCAGAAAGAGGTAAAGATGAAGTACATCTCGATGAAGATTGATGCGAAGGGTAGGACGCCGCCCAGGAGGATAATCACGCCCGGTTCCATGAACCACTTCTTCTCGGGGATCGGCCTCGGCACAGCGTTCACCCTGCAGGGATGATCCGGCTGACCGGACAGATTCCTACCCAGTACCGTACCAACAAGGGTCAATGGTAATATTACGAACAGGCAGATGCAGGTTACAGCCACCATAGTACCGAACGGGATCGCCCTGGAGGCATGGTAGTATATAGCGATGAAGTTGATCAAGAAAGCTGTACCGCATACAAGGGCCGGCAGAAGGAATGCGGAGACCAACATCTGCCTGATCCACAATTTACCACCCATCCTGGCGTAGAGGGAACCCCCGAAGAAACCATTTAGTGGTGACGTCACGGCATATACAAATATCGCAGTGGAAAGTAGCGACCCTCGCTCAGTATACAGTTCCCCGAGGATGGCGAAAGTGATGACACTGAAAACAACGGTGGTCAATTGATGACCAGCTCCTATCAATGAACAGAACAGCAGCGAGTGAGATGTAGGCCTGAAGACGTCTCCATGCACCTGCTTCCAACCGTACTCATCGCCCAAATCCCTTTCCATATCATCGATATCATCATCCTTTGAGTACCGCGCGTAATCTTTCCTCAGAGTTCGCATCAGGATCATCGAAACTAGACCCACCAAGAATATGACCATCATGAAGCTGTTGAAAATACTGAACCAATGGATTCTATGCTGGAAGAAGGACGGGTCCAAATACTTGTCGAAACGATCCTTGAACTTGATACTCGATCTCCTCCATGTTACTTCATATGTGAAGGTCAACTTGGTTGATGGCGTCAAAAGGACTTTATCTTCAGAGGTAATATTAACATCAACAATCTGATCCTCATTGTAGCCCATCTCAAACTTCTTGTGTGTCCAAATATAGTAATTAGAATCAGTGACTTCACCAACAATGCCCCAAATGGGTAAATCATCAATGTACATCTGATACCAATAGTGGTTTTTCACTGCATACACAAAAGCCTTGTACTTTTCTTCATTCAATTGCACTCCACAGTATACAGTTTTTTGAATGTCAGCTGAAAAAAAGGAAAATTAATTTAAGATTTGTTTACTCAGCTGTCAAGTCAATCAAAATTAGCTGTAATTATAAAGAATTAAAAGTGATACTGTTCAGCACTCACATTTATATTCAATATCCAGGCCACTGAATTCCAGTTCAACACCTTGAAGAGCATCGCTCATTGTCTCATGATAATGGTTGATGGTTGTCTTGCTGCCCACACAGAAAGGTAATGAGAAATAAGCATAAGTCTCCTGTCTGTTGTGATATGGTCCGACTGTGTTCATCCACAACACCACTTCATCTTTATCCTCATACTGAAATACGGTTTATTTATTAATACGCAATTAACGAAATTTCATTTCGGCCACCCCTTTTGGGACGCAGAACTTACTTTGTGGTCGTGCTCGTCGGCGAAAGCCCTGCATACGAAAAGGCCAAAACATAGAAGGATATGCAAATTGGATTTCTTCATCGCGGTGGCGTATCCAAAACGTATTCTGGTGTCCAATCTGTTGCAAAATGTGGAAAGTTTATTTCCTCTTCTGGTCCATTAAATTATTAATCCCAAAATCGCTTTCACACATACACAACACGTAGACATCAGAAGTTGACACTTGACATTAGAGATATCTGCTGCAGCGCCACCACGCCGCAAACCGGTAAACACGAACCAGCAGCAAGTTCTACGTCTTGCCCAGTGTTTTTCAACCTTATTCTACAATTTTTTACGAAAAATTAAAAACATACTCTACACTTGTATACATGAAGATTATAACAAACATTTCGTTTAATTAGCTAACTAATTAATCTATATTGGTTTGGATTCTACCATAATATAATGCAATGATAATTAATCTAATTGAATGCCAGTTTTGTAAAATAATCACTTATTGGAAAAAATATAAACTTTATAGAATTAGTTGCAAAAAAACGCTATTTCTATATAAATAATGCACAAATAAATATTTGTACAATTGACGATTGGTAATAATAATTATTTCATTTTAATTTTAATCAACGTTTGTCATTATAACTAAAAGAATATTTAATAGAAAATTATTAAAAATGTTTATAATGAAAAATTGAATTGATTTGCATAAAATATTCATCATGTTAATAGTTTACTTATTTAAGTAATCACATTATCCCAAATAGAAGCAAATATAAATTGCTTTTGTTATTGATTACGGCTCTACTTCTGCCACTAGCTAGTATTTATCGAACCCTCAAAATGCTATGGATTTTTTTAAAATTTGAGTCTGAGAATCAAACTAATCTTCTCGTATCGAATTTTTGTGATTGCGCCAAATTACATCATACATTGAATGTTCAGTTGAATATGTATTATGTATACAATAGCTTGCAGTAAAATAATTTTCTTCACAAAATAATTTATTTAATCGGTAAATATTTGTGTTTCATTGCAGCCAAAAGGTGCGCGTACGGTTTCTCCAATTGACTAGCGGTTAATGGGATATTGAAGGATTTCTTCACTTTAGGCGACATCAAAATCATATTCTGCACCAAGCCAAAAGCCGAAGACGTCGTCCAATACAAAGCCATACACTGAAAATGTACAATTATTTAATTAGCCAACCAAAAAATCTTTAAAACAGAATTTTCATCAATATCTTACAGATGGAACAGATGCAGCAATTGGAATCATAAGAACGCTGAAGCCCCTGAAGAAGTTCGTTGCGTATCGTTGCAATTTGCTCGGTACATTTACTTTGGATAACGTTTGAATCTACACAGAATGAAGTGAGTTTCGGTAATTTATTTTAGCTTTTCAGGCACTTGCCTCAATAATTGCCAAATTGATAAGGCCTAATGTAACAGGAAGTATCAAGGAGCTATCAACTTCAACTAAATTTGGTATCCAACCAAAGCCTCCAACAGATAATTCTGTTAGAGTCATTTTAGCTGTGAAATCCTGATTGGGTAGTTGATAAACAAGGTTCCTTAAGCTGACTGACAATGAGACCCACATTGGTATTTGAAACCATAGCAACAGACTGCTTTTCACTGGGTGACAGTTGTCCCTCACTATCAGTTTATTCCATTCTTTCTTCATCTGAAATTACTTTGAATTGTTAGGTATTCATAATGTTTTATTGAGGAAACTCACTGTTAGCTTGTACTGCATTTTGGCCATCTTCTCATCCCACTTGTACAACCTGACTGCCACTCCTATCTCCTTCTTTAATTCCTTTGCAATTGCAGGCATTTCCAAGCTCAGGTTCTCGACTTTGGCTAGAATGTAGTTTTGGTAGATTGCCAAGGGGAAAGTGATTGTGGCTCTCATGAGGATTGTGGTAGAAACAATTGTGGCCCACCATGGTAAACCTGTAGTTTCGTGTATGTTCAGTAACAATTTTTGCGCGTATTCAACTGGGGTGCTCTCCGAGATACTCTGGAATATACCGCTTTGGGTTTTCGCCACAGACTCCACGCTTGATTGCAACGAGAACTGCCGCTTGCTATTATCTCCGCAACAGCATTGAAGTTGATTCTTATAGAGATTGTGAACGCTTGTTGTAATTCTACCAGGACATAACCTTACATTCGTTGTGAGAATCCTGGTAATATTCATTTTGACAACAGTTTTGGTTATGTAGGCTAATCGCACTAAATTCAAATATCGCAAGAATTTTCGCTCGCCATTGGCTGTCTAAAGCAGCTGATGATCCAATGTTTACACCTTATTATGCAACCGTCCAAAGGCGTTACACTTTATTTTTATAAGCAACTTGAAAATATTTAAACAATTATTGAGTTTTATTTAAGTTTAATATATTTATAATTTCATACAACAATGAATGGATTGATTTTAAGATTTACCATTTTTTTGGATAATATGATGCATCTTTACACTTAAAGAAATCTTTTTAAATTTGAATGCACCGTGATGCGTTTTATGTAATAAATTTGTTAAAATTGTCTCATAAGTTTGGTTTGCGTCTTATAAAATTCATAAATTTAGAAAATGGCGAAACAAGTACCCTATGCTTTTAAAATATATTATATACAAACATCATGATAGAAGTAAAAATGAAAAACAGAGCGCATATTCATGGTCACCAATGACGCAAATGGAGAGGTGTGGGATTCTTTGATTTTAAAGCATACACGATGTGTGCGCATCTGTTATAGTCAGAATCTACATCATGCGCGAAAATAACGAAACTGCAACGCCTGTCCAGCTGCAAATTGTATTGTATGCATCAGTATGCATAATGATGTATGTTTCTTGCATCCTGATTGATGGAATACTTATTTATCATAATTCGTTAAATTACTAATTGAAATACCTTGTATTGACAATATAACTATTATGCCTTATTATATCTTTAAATTATTATAGTATGTCCGTCCGCAGACCAATTAGAATATGTATATTTTGGGTAGCGAAACTGGATTCGACGAGCCGCTTATGTTTTATTTACAGTCTGTCCGTTGTAAATAGAGAAAGCAACGTGTGTCCACCGTGCTGTGTGTGGTGTTTTCTTCAGCTGCTTCGACCAGAAATTCTAATTAAACGACATACGAGTTTGTTTATTTGTTGCAAAACAGTATTTTTTTTAACCGCAGATCGAGTGTTTTCGGTGACCAAAGTTTTACCCGGATGTCTTTGAGTCTTCTCATATCTTAACAAGGAAATGTTATGTCCCTTGAGCAAGTGTTAAGTGTATTTACAGGGCTGCGATTTCCTTCGTGATGGGCGCCACAATCAGCTCCTACTCCTATCCACAGAGGGTCTATAACTATGTTATGAACAGGAAGAGGAAGCTGGATGAATCGGATACACAGGATGAAATGGACAAGATCATCGACATTGCAATGCATACACCAAAGAGGTAACTGCTTTATAAATTTTAAATATTTTCATCATGTCTCATCTATATACCATCAATTGCTTACAAACTTTATTAGAAAAAAAGTACTTTCTCTTATTTTTCTGCAATAATCGATTGATTGCTGAGGAAAGTTGTTTATGTTAATTGCGCTTTCATTTTCCGTAATATTCCAAAAATATCTTATCAATCTTTATAATCTATCCTGAATTGAATCATTTGGCTATTTTTAGCTTCTATTATTTGCTGTTTTTTATTTGTTTTTTGAACCGGATATGCAACTCTTTTTGCGCCCACGCAAAGTGGATCCCTAAATAAGGTCAAGGTTTTCTTTGCGCGTTTGTTTAAGAAAGGAGAAATTTTGGGTGAAAGCTGTGTTTATCTATTGGATACGCTCGTGCGATATGTCTCTTGTATCACTACTTCTATTATATGAGATAAAAGATCCACAGTAAATTACAGTTTTGTTTTCGAAGACGCAACACATATCCGGCGTTCTGTCTTGAGTTTAGGAGTCTATTTGATAATGTATACCTCTTATTTTTTTAATGATGGGATACTACTTCCTTCCAAATATAACGCGTCCTTGTAAATTTAAAAATGAAGAGCATAAATCCAGTATAAAAAAGGGTCACCAGTGGCGTCACTTATAATAGTGTAATTGCTACATTATGGAAATATGTTTATAAACTGTTGTATTCATGAATACATTAGTATTAGGTAATAGTTAATAAACGATGGGGACTTGAGAGATAAATAGATTAGTCAGTGGTATTAATAAAATTATGAAGAAAATATAATTAAATTGTAAAGTAAGATCAATTAATTTTTGTGTTGTTTCAGTTACAATTATTAAAAAAAATGCTTTTATTCAAATATGAAAATGTGACTAAAAATTAAATTAAGAACAAGTTGTTATACAATTATTAATTTTATTATTTAATATGACTTTTATGATAAAAATATATTTGTTTTCTTGTCTGCTTCTCTGCTGCAGTTTTGGTACACCTGGGACAAGTATCGTGAGTGAGCTTTATTTCTGTTGTTTTTCAAATTTCAAATAATTAACTGTTCTTATAATTTGTTTTTTTTTTAATTTTGTATTTGTATTGTTGTATGTCCACCCATTAGGACATCTGAGGTAGATCGGATTACGTCAATTAATGAAAAACAGAGCTTAGCTTATATATTTTTTAAGATACAGTGGAACTTCGCTTAACGAGATTAATGCGTTTCAAAATTTCCGGATTTTTAATCGTATAGTGAAACATATAATATACACATAATATGTGTACACAAGTTTTAAAAATAATGAAGCAGGCGCGCAATCCGGCACTTCTCTTCTCATCTTCACTAGTTATGGGAAATGTCGCTCTTTAAGCGAGTATTTTTTCTTATAATTCATATTGCTCGTTAAGCGAGGTTTGCATTCCATGGTTTTACCAATGAGACATCCTATAGTATCATAAAAAATGTTATAAAATAAAGCTTTAAGTTAAAATAGGTTTAAGTTCAAATTGTCTATCTGGGGCCTTAGAAAATCAAAATATTTGAATAAATACATTTCTCAATAAAACATAACATCTTTTAATAACAAGTACAGGTAGCCCTTGGATTACGCAGCAGTTCCGTTCCTACAAAAGCCGGCGTAAATTGATACAGCGTAAAATAAACCCATATTTACAGAGAGGTAGGTAGGTATAGGTATAGTTGTAGTATATTCTCAGTCAGCGTAATCATAACACAATATGCATTGAAATACTGATAAAACCCTACAATACGAGTGGGACATTTTGTAATACTTTTTTTTATGTGTTTGAAACGTTTCAGTAAAGGGTTAAATTAGAATATTTTTTATGTTAAATGGGATTTGAAATTACAGACTCCATTATATCGAAGCTTCGTTATTAGAGGCAATTTTAACGGAGATACAACTGTACAATTTTCTAATATGTATTCATCCATATTATATCTGAGTAAGGTATTTACAAATTAATTTAAGCTGTGAAAGAGTTATCAATTAATTATTTTAGAATTATTTATTTTAAACTGTATATTCAAGTTAAAATTAAAATTGGTTTCACTGAATAATATTTTTTTTAAACCTTAACAATTATTATAAAGACATTAAAATGATTAAGTTCACAATTTTTACGAATATTATGTATGACAGCTTCTTACAATATTATAAAAAATATAACACGTTATTGCAGTATATATAAAAACATAATGCACAAACAAAACTATTAAGTGCAAATACTGTAGTCGAGGTAGATGTGTCCGTCTAACGTGGATTTATCATCCGCGATTTTAAGCTTGAAATACCCCTTCTTCGCAATCATATTATCGATATTTAGAGTACATTTACCCGCAACTGCAAACTTGGAAGACGAAAAAAAATCGTATTTTGAACAGTTCGAATTGAGACCGAACACTTTTTTAAGCTCCTTTCCAATGATTGATCGAATTTTATGATGTTTTCGTTTCTTTTTTAAACTATAAATTGTAACTGTTATTTCAAAGTCGGAAAATAATTCATCCAAGATGAGTTCGTCTTTAAAAACTATTTTTTCAGCACCTTGGACAATATTGCTGCTCTGTAATTTTGTACCAGCAGATGCGACGCAAATATATGAATATTTGTGTTTCCTCTTAACATCCATTTTTATCGATAGTTTCGCTGACTTGATTTTTATGGTTGTGGGATGCTCGGCCGCGTCTTCCTCGATAAAAACTATATTTTTCAATTCATCTATGTGCGCTTTCCTCTTGATCTCTGCTAGAAGAAGCACTTTCTGTACTTCCAAATATTGTATGTTATTTATATTATTGCATATCCTCTGGGCTTTAGTGATTTGAAACATAATTAGTCGTTGATTATTAGCCTCTTCTAGTAGATCACTTGCATTAACAAAGGTGTCACTAAGTTTCCGCTTAGCATTTTGCTTACATGCAATATCCTGAATAACTGTATTCTCACTATAGCGAACTTCGCGCAAAATTATTCTAGACCTATAATTATCGCTATCAAAATAACTAGATTTGTGTATGTCTATAATCGAAATTCTTCTTGATGTCCTCGAATTTTCTTTAAATAGACGTAAATTAATAAAAGAGCGACTCTTCTCATCATTGGACATCAAATTATCTTGTGGCAATATCTTATTTGTACTCAAACAAAAATCTGATGGTTTTTTTTCGTTATCTAAAGCAGTTCCTACAAAAAAAGGGATATTTATGGTACCTTTATCAGTGTTCGAATCCGAAATCTGGTGGGGTCTTTTCTCTTCTGCATCGCGATAAACGGTATCCATGATATCTTCTACAGTTTCGTCCAGAAGCTTTTAAATGAACACTGCGATTGCTTCTTCAACAAGTTCGAACGCTTTGAACGATTACAAACTTTGTACTGAATATGCTCCATAAAATGAAAACTATTTATATCTATTCTTAATTACATTGATATTTTTGACTGCTTGAGATTACACGAGAAAAATGCGAAATACATAGTTCTAAGAACACAACAACACATTACATCTTCACCGTAAACTTCAAAATATTTCTGAAAAACGTATTGCTTCTATTTATTTACAAACGTTATCAATTTCTGGAAATATAATGAAGTACAGCATACTGCCTTCGATCGGTCCGATTTTAATATTGAAAAAAATCTAAATTTTAATTGATAAAAATTATAAAAAAAATAGTACATAAATATATTTTTTAATGTTTATATTGTTTTTATCCTTGCGGTTTTAAAATCCGCGATTAGAATGGTTTCAAACAGTGCGGGATATTGGCGAAACAGATGAAGTGCGGTTATTGCAGGGGTGACCAACAAAAGTCTTTCGCTATCTTTTGAAAATACTGATTATTTCAAATGTGACGTTAGTAAAACGAGACCAAAAACTTAATTCCAATGGATAACGTAGATCGTAATTACTTTTTAAGTAGAAAAGCCGATATCAACAATGAAGAAGTTGGCCGTCCTGATATGTTTGATCAGGACATAAGTCGGTTTATCTGGCCTCACACATGAATATAACGGGGCACTCAAAAGAAAATTAGGTAATATAAATATTTTGAGGCCCCACTAATAACTTTTTCTCGTTATTCAATAAAACATCTAGTCGACAATACAGAACATCGAAAAAAAATACAAATGACGAAGCTTGAATATAAAATTAATTATAAATTTATGTATGTTATCTATAATCATGAAGGGAACCTGGCAATAAGAATGAGCTGGTTTAAACCAGTCATGGTCTCTTTCAATATTTCCAATTTGATAAATACTTAAATTTTTAATAATTAAAAAAAGGTATTTTAATGAAAGTTGTATTTTAATTCAATTACTAGAAAATTACTCTAGAAACTATTTTCCCTAGATTCAAGAGAAATCACTGAATTGCGAATTGTTTAGTGTTCAATTTAGAAATAAATCGTTCAACAGCATTCAATTATAGGAATCACAATTTATAGTGATAAATCTATAGAATTCCATGTTTTAAACCAGGGTTCCCAAACTGAGCATATTGAAGAAAAAATACTATTAACATAAAGTTCGCCCTAAATAAAAAAGAATCATTTGCTATAAATATTATAATAAAACAAAAAAGATTAACTGCAAAGGTATATCCAAGTTGCTGTCAAATTTTTGAACGGCTTTTACGTTATATGAATCTTTTTTTGTCAAACATTTGCATATTTTTATGCGGCTTCTTAGACTTTGCAGTTCTGTTTACTTCAGTGGAGCGAAATACTTAAATCTCATAGTCTTATAGATATTTTAAGTAAAAAAATAATTAAAAAAGAGATTTTGTTAACTATGTTAATTAAATGTATTTTAAATAGTAAGTATTTTTTTTACATGTTTAAGGAAAAAGCTGTGCAGTACAGTGGCGTATATATATCAAGCACTGTTCGTCGAGGGAAGGGATTCGGATGTGACGGTGGTGGCATTGGGCGAGGAATTTCCACTGCACAAGGTGTACCTGAGCCAGAGTCCGTATTTTGCAAGCATGTTCGGTGGTAACTGGAAGGAGACTGGTCAGACCAGGATTCACATCGATGTTGTTGATCCATTCATAACGAAGGAAGCTCTCCACACAGTGCTCGGAGCGCTCTACAGCGACGAGGTAAAGCTTGAGCCGCTGAATATTGTGAGCGTTCTAGCTACGGCTACCATGCTTCAGCTTGGCGGTCTCATTGATAGATGCTGCGAGGTGATGTTGGAAACGATAAATCCGCACACCGCTCTTCACTATTATGAGGCCGCATGCCAATACGGCGATCTGAAGTTAAAAGAGAACTGTTTCCAATGGTTCCTCGTTAATTTAATCACTTACTATTCGTCCAACGTGGAGGAACTGAAGACCATACCGATTTCTCTAATGGAGAATTTGACCAACCATTCGGGGTTGTGTGTTGTAAAAACAGAGATTACGCTATATATCCTGCTTAAGCAATGGATGTACATGCAGCTGCATGAGAACCCGTTTCCATTTGATGCCACCAATGTTGTTGAATATTTTAGCAGTCGAAAAGGCGAGATGCCATTGCTGCTGACGGAGCTTGGCAGCAAGTATGAACGGGTCTTCAGGGCGTTGCGTATGCAACACCTGATCTCGCACCATGTGGACGTCGGAATAATGTTGCGGGATAACATAATTCCACGATCCTGGATTGAGAGTGTAATAATGCATGGTTGGAAGTACACCCTAATGGTAAATGAGAATGAGGTGAGGGGTCCGGAGGAATGCACCGACGAGGAGTTCTTGGAGATTGCGCTCCGTTGCGGACGCTTCCTACCTATCAAGGAGAAAAACATGTGGAGGTGGACAGGCTTCCACTACGGCCTAGATCTGATCATGATTGCGGATGATCGAACTGTCTCCATCAAACGAAACCATCGGCCGGAGTACGAGTTATTGCTCAGCCTGCAGACCATACGTTATATAATCATCCGCGTAACGGTGCACAGCCTTAATCAGCAAAAGCAAATTACCTACACCCAAACGTCCGGCATTCATAGGCTTCCCCTCAACAAGTCTGAAGAGATTGTTCTGATGACCTTCCCTCCAGACATCAATTTCCCCTTGGTTCTGTCCGCTAATATCCTTTTTACCACTCCGTTCTCCGACGATTGGACGACGGACTCCAGCATCCAATCCATTTAGCGACTTGCACCTCCCCCAACAGCACGTACGCATAAAGAAATAATTAAACTGTGATTAACTTAAAAATAATAATAATAATATATAATTATAAGATATTCATTTGTGATTGAAATCGATATGGAAAATAATATCAAAACTTATTAAGTAAATTACTTATGAATGTACTGAAAAGATTCTAGTAATCAGAGAACAATTACTATATGAAACAAATGTTATTGGTGCTACGGATGGAAAGAAATATGTTTAATTAAGTTGACTAAATTTATGTTTTATTATTTTTGAAAGATAAGTTACCACAATACTTTTCTTATATAAGTGCCATTCCTGAAAAAGCAATGCATTTATAAAACAATATTAATTATTGATGACTGTCGGGATTCGTCTACATTATTGTTACCACATTAAGTAATATTTTTTTTAAAACTTTTGGTAAGGAATAATTCTTTTTATTACTTTATTTTCTGTGTGTCTTTTCATTGTTTATTATATAATATCAGTCAGCTACAAAAACATAGATATATAAGTGCTCTTACTAATTGCCTAGTCATTTAACGCTTGTCTTATAACTATAACCCAAAATTGTATAGATATATTTTTCGTTCTTTACATAATTGTATACAATATATTTATTGAAAAAGTGGGGAAGAGAGTAACAATACATAATAATATGGTTGCATATAATAGGCTGTGGATACCTAATGCACATTCTATAATGTTATTATATTGCGATATAATTGACATTACTTAAATTTATTATTTTTGAAATGGATTTTCAAAAAAGAAAATTGTAAGTTTTCTTTTTTATTTTACTATTGCGCAACACAATATATATACAATATTCTAATCACATTAAGTTGTATTTTTTAAATCCACTTCCATTTATGTATTATATGTTATTTATTATATAATAGAAATATATATAACCATTTGTTTACTTTTGTACAATTTGCTTATAATGTACATAAATAAATACAAGTTACATATAAACATTACTTATCATCCCTCTCGATTGCCCTTACTCGATAAACATGTAATATAGAAAAGGTTCAGATCTGAAACAATTGAAAATGACTTTTTAAGAAGAAGTATAAAAGTTATATAAATTTTGTATTTTTGCTACAATTTAAATCTTTAATATATGTTAGTAAAGGATACATTACTAATAACTACACATGTGTTCTTAATTAAATGAAATTTGAGTCGAAAGACCATTGGTGCAGCTCAGGGTTTGCAAACAATTTGTTTTTCAAGTGGATTGAAGTAGAATCCCAGGTTTTGCCCAATCTTGAATAACAGATAGTCTGCAGACTATATGCTTCACAGTTAAAGTTTGCTGTGAATATGTGAATAAATATGTTGTTTTTACTTATTATATAAAAGTTTTGAGAATTCGAAGTGTAGATTCATGTATTAGTAGTTCAACTTACATGGCATACTTATACACATTTTGTGGTTCCTGCATTCAATATCCTTTCATTCTTTCACAAATTGGTAAAAATTATCGAATACAAAATTTGATCCAAAACTTTTATTAAAATTAGTTTTCAAATAAGTTACTGAAAACTGTATCTTCCGAATTGCCAACCTTCCTAATCCTAATGTATTGATCGATGTATAATATATATATTGGTCTCCCTGTATTAGATCTTGTTAGATTTTAAGGAAGAAAGCTGAAGAAACGGATGCATTTGGTCTCTAAGTAGTTTTAAAATATTTTAGGTATTAATTTGTTTTTTTTTAAATTTAATAATTTGGTTGACCTGATTGTCAATTAAATGTCCATAAACTTTAATTAAACCATTAAACATTCATAAGTTAGGTTAAGATTGTTTATCTGTTTATTTTATACTACTTTTGTGGATTAAAATTGTATACTAAATGGAATACGGTGCCTTAAGTCTACTCTCAATTTATGGTGATGACGATTCAGAGGACGAATCAGTTCCTGGACCTAAGGTTTCCACAAAACGATGCTTTAGAGATGATGAGGAGACACCATACAACTTCAAACGGTAAAATCCATAAACAGTAAAATTTGCAGAAAATATTTAATGTACATTATTATTTATAGGTTAGCGGTTCCAGATATAATTATTAATGGGCTTAAAGCTGAAACTCATTCAGATAATCCTTCAATGCACAATGGAAGATTGAGATCTTTTCCTCATGTCCGAGGGAACTGGTCCACATTCTTATCAATACCTTGTAATAAGTATAAGTGCATACAACTGTACATTGATTATATAAATATTATTTTTTTGTAGTTGAGACTGGTGATGATTTTGAAAACCTAACAGAAAGCCTTAGGAGTGCAGTAAATGAGATTGAATTGAATGTGGAAACGAGTCCACACATCAGTGTATCAAAGACTGTGGTGTTGAGACACCATTGGATAAAAATATTCAGCGACTCAATTAGAGAGAAACTTAATGTGATTAAAAAGTAAGTTAATCAAATATAAAGTTTTAACTTAATAATTATAAGTATAGGGACTTGAGTCAATACGACCAATATTTTTTTTGTAATTTTTGTTAATTATAATTGATTTTCAGATTTATCATATTATTTGATTGTTTGAAAGTGTATTGCAATGAGGAACGGACTAGAACTTTTCTGGGGCTGCAGATAAAAAGTGGATATGAATCATTAGTGAAAATTGTCTCGCAAGTTGACGAGTGTTTGGCTGATTTTAAATTGACGAAATTTTATGAGGTGATTATTTTTTAAATTATATAACTTAAAATATGTTATTGTTTGATTTCATTTTAAGGATCCTTCTTTTCATATGAGCATTCTTTGGTGCGTGGGCGATAAGGAGGACGAATTAAACCGGGCTTTGCCGAGGTTGAACGAGGTATTCGCTGAACAAGTGAACGTTTTAGAAAATAATTACATTAATGCCGATAAAGTTCTATGTAAATGTGGTAACAAAATATTTTCTTATGCACTTTCTTGAGAAAATGTTATTTATACACAGTGATACTTTAAGTTTAGAATATATATATATTTTGTAAATAAATTTGTAAATATTTTTATTAAGTACAAACATTTTAACACATGTTATCAAACTTCGTCTGTCTGCTCGTGGTAAGGGCCGGATTTGAGACGATTGGAGCGATTGCGCCAAGTCGGTTCCTGCGCTTGAATAGGCCCCGCAGCTCATCAGCACATTAGAAATTGCTCTGACAGCAAAAAGCCTAATTAATAAGATAATTAATAGAAAGCATAACAGGTAAAGAATGAAATACATACTCGCATCCATTTGCTGGAGGACCAAAGTAGTCATATTTTTCTGTATCACACCAGGATGCATTACTCATGAATCTGCTCTAATATACCTAATGTTTACACTATTATACAAAATCTTCAAGTACTTAAGAACCTCGTTGTAATCCTAATTTGTACCTATAGGACTTTAAAACTCTGGATTGTCAGACATATCCCCATACAATCTTTTATTGTTACACCCTCTAAATCTCGGCTAACAGCCATCTCTTGAAAATGTTTACTGCAATCTGTACAACCAAAATAATTCTTAATGTATCCTTAGTATATAACACTTCTTTAGGAATATAAGATTTCCCTGAAGCTTCAACTGTTAAAAAATGGAAAAGCATCCATTGTCTGCGAGGATATCTTTTCTCACTTGTACTCCCATCACATGCAATCCATTGATGTTTTGAGCTAAAAACATTTGCTCCTTCTGTATCATACTTATTTACAACTTCAACAATCGTACCTCCATCAAGTGTTCTAATAATCGCAAGACTCCGAGACAAATTCGTCCGTAGAATTCGGACACAGGAGGAGGATCCTTAGAGTCTCCCCCTGTTGAATTTTTCCCCATGATGTGGAAACTGATATAGCCCTTGACGGCTCACTCCCCACAGCAAGATTTTTTTTTCCTCAATGTGGCTAGGTGGGGAATTGATCCCGTTGCCTTTTATCTATAGGAATGCATAACAGTGAATTCGTGGGTGAGTAAAAACTCCGCCTTTCGGCTCATGATTTTAATGCATTGGCCTGAAGGCCCATGTGGTGATGCATGACGAGTGTTCGGTCTTGTGGGAATGTCAGGTAGCAGCCATTCTCGGCCTTTTGTGGGTGTGATGATCACCCGGATCGTAGTCGACGGCCGCTCGCAGGAGAGGATTTGGATGAATCTCAGCTCTGGCAAAAGCCTTCTCAGCTGACTTCTTCATGAATTCCGAGAGGAAAGGAATGTTAGCCTCCCGGTGCAGCTGCACGTTCCTGATGAACCAGGGAGCATTGTAAATAGTTCTCAATGTCTTATTCTGAATCACTTGCAGCTTGTACAAGTGAGTGCGTGCAGCATGACCCCATGCAGGAGACGCATAAGTCATGCCGGATCTTATGATCGATTTGTAAATGGCCAACTTGCTAGGAATGTTTAGACGGCTCCTCCTGTTCATCAGGGGATAAAGCAGCTTGATGGTTGCACAGGTGTCTCGTCTGATTCCTGAGCGCATTACCAGAGTACTCCCGATATTGCTGGCTTAGGAACTCTTGCTGTCAAACCTTTATCCAAAGTAACCCCCAGGTACTTAGCTGAAGGCTTCCACTGGATATCTTCACCAAAGACTGTTAGCGCACCAGATGGAGTGGCGCGCTTTCGAGT